TACATCTATTTATCAATTTTTCTTTGGGTGTAGATAGCATCTTTCTTCATACATCCTTTATAGTTAATTTGTGTATATATTATATGTGTGTTATATATACTATATAATTTTTGTAATAGTCAAAATGGCTTATTCCCTCAAAGTCATTCTTAAAACAATATTGCTGTTACTATATACAATATTCTCTTGCTTCAGCTTATTTGGCTTTTCATTATTTTATGTAAGTCTTTCCATGTTTTTCTAAGACCATATCTCTCATAGGAAGTTTGTTTCCTTATCTGCTCGGCAGGATGATAATAGAAAGGATTTTAACATTTGTTTTGTTGGATCAGACCTGTGATTTCCTTGGTAGAGGGGTCTCCTTCCTTTACCAACAAGATTAGTAACTCTTCAGCAATTTATAGTCTTAGAAGTTGCTTGAGGGGTGATGAGAAGTTAAGTTGTTTGCCTAGAGTCACATAACCAGTATCGGCCAGAGGCAGGACCTGATTCTGAGGCCATCTCTCTTTTTTTCTGCTACATGCTGCCTCTGTGATGTAGAGATTGAAAAAAAAAAGAGTGACTATAGATTCTTAAAAGTAGCAAAGAAAAGCTGCTGTAAATCAAAGCATATATATTACAGAAATTGGTAGTGCATGCCTGGCTATAAGTAGACATAAATTAGATTCTTATTATCAACAACTGTCACTTGATGAGATTCCAAACATTAATGGGATAACAAGCCACACCTGACCCTGATCATTTTCTATTCCCATATGTCTTTTTGTTTTTTTGAATTGGTTTCTGGGTGTCCAAATATAGCAACTAACTGTGAAACACTTCAAAACTCAAAGTGACACTGTAACCGTCAAGTATGAAATTAAAGTGTTAGCATGAGTAAATTACATTGAATAGCTCTGTTCAGTCATCTTGCATATGCGTGCAAGAGAAGGTATGTCATTGTAAGATGTACTAATGGCCAAGGTAGATATGGCTCATAAAAAAAAAACCACTTTAAAAAAGAGATTCCCTAGAACACCAGAGATAGAGCTCTTCTAATGTGATTGATCCTACCTTTATAATTATACCTTTTTCATGTCTGGAAAAGCAACATGTCAAGCAATATAATTGTACTATGACTAAAGGAAAACCAATCCATTGGGGTAACTTTTGGGGGACTTTGAAATTTCTATAGAAGCAATGAGCCAGTCATTAATGCAAAAAGTGATAGGTGGGGGCAGCTAGGTGGCACAGAGAATATAGCACTGGCCTTGGTGTCAAAAGGACCTGAGTTCAAATCTAGCCTCAGGCACTTGACACTTACTAACTGTGTGACCCAGGGCAAATCACTTAACCCCATTGCCTAGCCAAAAAAAAAGCAGTAGGCTTTTATTTAGTTATGTCTTAATTGACAAAAACCAAAGTAAATAATTTGAGAAACCTATGGAAGGGATGGCAAAGGATTGGGGTTTCAGGAAGATACTTGTAAATCCATTCTTGAAAATGTAAGGATACAGCTATGTCACCAGTGGGGGTAGGTTACATTCTCAATTTGAGGGAATAGAAGTATCTAGGCCTTGAGTGAAGTTATTTTTAGGATATGGAAGGGGAGGGAAAAAAAAAAGAATTGATGACTTAGTGGCAGGTGACCTACCTGAACTAGTTTCTTGGTTATGGCTCTTGCTGCTTCTTCCTGGTCAGTCCAACCACACTTTAGTACTGACTCACACAACAAAGTCTCTCCCTAAGGCACAAGAGGGTCATGTGTTTCATACTGAGGGACAGTGTCTCCCTCTGGAATATTTGTCCTGCCTCTGGTGTCAAAGGCATTTCGATCAGAAGACAGAATTTTCAGGGACAGCTAGGTGGCACAGTGGATAGAGCATTGGCTCTGAAGTTGGGAGGAGCTGAGTTAAAATCCAGCCTCGGACCAAACACTTGACACTTTACTAGCTATGTGACCCTGGGCAAGTTGCTTAACCCCAATTGCCTAAAAAACACAGATCTTGTACCTCAAGAGAAGAAATCCCCACCAGGTAGCCTGTAGTAATCACAGTCCCAGAAACTCTTGCTAAGAGCCAGAATTAGGTACAGAAATTCAAAACGTTAACCACTCATCAAACTCCTGGACAATCAGTGTAGTCCAGGAAAAGGGGTTTACAAATAACTTCTCTGTATTCTATTCAATTTCCTTGTGTATTTTGGCCTTGAGATTTACTTGGCAAAATGTCCCACATTTTAATAGCTACTAAGAGATATTTTATTTTTCCTTTTACAGGGAGACGGTATACTATGAACTTTTTCTAAGGAGTTAATGAATGCTGTATTTTTTTCCTAAAAGTTAGAAAAACTGAGTTTGGTGATATATGTATGTGTGTGTGTGTGTATGTGTGTATATACATATATACACACATATACACACACACATATATACATATATACACATATACACATATACACACATATACACACATATATACATATACACACACATACACACACATATATACATATATACACACATATACACACATATGTATACATATATATACACATACATAAATGTATGTATACACACATATACACATATACAATAGATTTACATATTATAAAGCTAATGATTTGTGCTCTTCCACCTAAAATCCTTTTTGATTGAGTGTAAGTCTTGATGTGCTTGACAAATCTCCCTCGCTCTATCATTAAAAGTTTTACGTTTCCTGAGCAGTTTATCATTGTTGTTAAGTGAGTTACAGTCTCGGTACGCCCTGCACGGTGCCTGCAGACTGAGACTGCGTGCTTCAGTGGACATGGCCAAAAGTCCTCTTTTTCTTTTAGGTTCACATAGTCACGTGCTATGTGATCTTGAACCAAGCTGCAGAACCTTAGAGTCATAAAACCAGAGCATTCCCCAGTTAGAATGACCTCTACAGGCTATCCGCTCCACTAGTCTACCAGCTATGGAAATCCTCTCAGTGACATTCCTAACCATTCAAACTCTACTGGAACATTTCAAGTAATGTTGAACTCACTACCTATCAAAGCAGCACATTCCATTTTTGAAACAATGGGGTATTCTCAGGGAGAGATGAAAAAACCTAAGCAAATGCCAAGCAAGTCAGAGTTTTCTCTCTCAAAACTAAGATTCTATGATTTCATGATTCTATGCCTTGATTCATTTTATCTTTTTTTCTTTTTTTGGCTAGGCAATGGGGTTAAGTGACTTGCCCAGGGTCACACAGCTAGCCCTTGATTCATTTAAAAGAAAGCATTTAGTTTCTCTGGCCATCAGTCTTTTCAAATATTAAATGAGCTCTTACTAGCTGTGTGACCTTGGGCAAGTCACTTGACCCCATTGCCCAGCAAAAACAAACACAATATTGAATGAGCTATTGAACTATTTATTGATAACTTTAAAAAAAATACATTTTATTAAAATTCTAAAAATATATATACTTTATTTTCGTACAACAGATACTTCACAACAAATGCACAGACCAACCTCCTCCAACGTACTTTACCAGAACATAACTTAATAATTGTTAACAGAAAGATTGACTATATTTAACTTTGCTAGCATAGTGTTAACATTGACCATTTTGTTTAAACACAGTTATGTTGCATTTTTGTGGTGAGTTTGTTGATATCATTGTATATCAATTGTTCTTTGGGTCCTATTGTCTTTACTCTGTATCCCTTCACACAAGTCTTCTCATGTTTTTCTGAGTTTCTTATATTAATTTCTTAATGTTTAGTGATATTCCATTACACTCATGTACTATAATTTGTTCAACCATTTCCTAGTCATTGGTACGTATTTTGTTTCTAACTTTTTGCTATTATAAATAGTGCTGCTGTGATATTTTTGGACAGATGAGTCTTTTCTTGCTGTCAATAACGTTCTTTGAGTATAAACTCAGTGGGCTTGCTGGGTCAAAGAATGAACAGTTTTGTAACTTTTCTTGCATAATTTTCAAATTATTTTCCAGAAGAGTTGAACTGATTCACAGCTCTATCAGCAGTGAATTAACATGCCTGTCTTCCTACATTAAAGATAAATTTGGATCATTTAAAAAATTTTCTGTAGGATTTAGAGCTAGGGAGAGGTGGAATGCACTGGAGTGGATTAAAAGCTGACCTGACAACAGAGAAGTTCAAGTCTTATATTTGACACATCATGGCAGTATGACCCTGGGAAAGTGACTTTACCTCTCAATGCTCTTGGAAGCTCTCTAAGGGTATAAGTTGCAGAAAGAATACCAATGTGAAATGGTAGAGGGAATTCTTTACCTGGGAGTTCTCTATACCAATAAAATCAAAGGTCTGGTTCCTATCCATTAGAATTAGGAGGAAATTTAAACTTTATAGACAAGGAAACTGAGACCAAGAAAAGGTAAATTAATTGCTTAAGTTCTCACAGTTAGTGAATATCAGAGCCTGTATTTGAATGCAGATGTCAGACTCCAAACCCAGGGCTCTTTCCATTACATCACATTGCCTCTGGAGCCAACTGACTTTTCTGGACTTCTAAGTATTCCTTTAGTATAACCAAGAACTTGCAGAAGGATTTTAAGATTGCAAGGACTGTCTAACAATTTAAGTATCTTCACTGTCATCATCACTATTATTATTATTGTTATTATTACTGTGCTGATAGTTTAAAAAAATTCTTTACATTTATGGTTTTGTGCTGTGGAGTTGTTGACGTTAGTTCAGAAACTATCTCCACTGTGATGCATGTAGTTCATTTGCTCTATACCTTGGAGTCCTAAATTTCAGTAATTGCAAAACATCTAAGTAACATGGGATAAAAAACAAAACAAAACAAAAAACACTCAAATGTGTTTTTGGAGTCCTTGTGCGTTAGTAATTTCTTTGGAAAATGTGTTACCTCTTGTTATTAAAAAATCCATGATTTGCAATTTAATTTGGGGAAAAAAATGCACACAGAGCTTGGAAACTAGTAGGAGCATGCAATTAAAACCCAGCTTGTTTTTCTTTTTCCCTTTCACTTTTTATACTAGTCAGTCTTGGTGAAATCCTGTCCATAATTGAACCCATTAGTAAACAAATGGAGGAAGATAAAAAACACAAAGTGGAGCCATCCAGGTAACATAGTTTGATTAACCTGTATGATGCTATATGTGTGTGTGTGTGTGTGTGTGTGTGTGTTTTGTTTCTTCCATGACTTTTTTTTATTTCTTATCCCCCTGTCCTCCCTACTTATTTCTATCACCCCCTCCCACTACCTTCTACCCATTTTGAATCACCCCATGTATGAGGCTAACCCATCCTTCTGGTTGAATAGCTTTGAACCTATCAATTATCACAATCTTAGTTTTTGGTTCAATTAACTTTTGAACTGGAGAATGCCTGAATAGTTATGCTCACCATCTGGGTTTGACAGTGCATAAGCTCAAATTCAGTTTAAGTCTGTCTTGAAAAAAAAAGTGATTATGCTTTATCACAAAATTGTATGAGAATGGAATTTCAACATTTCTTCCACCATAGATCATGGGATGGGCTAGATTTTAACTTTCTTTTTAGAAATGTTGCTAATTTAGAGTTAATCCTCTACATAAAGGTAAATGATAGTATTTCTAAATGGTTATAGGCCGTGCAGGACTCATTTTTGGTCTTCAGCTAGGACGCAGTGCTAGCTAGGAGTTAGGAGCTGGTGCAGAACAAAATTTGGACTGTGCTGCTATGCCTTTAAGAAGGCACCATATCAAAGCAGCATTTTTGCTGTGGCTAAAAGTGCAAATTGGAGATCTATTCATTAAAAGAATAAACTCGATTCAACAAGCATTTATCAAGGACCCATTACATTCAAAGCACTGTGCTAGGCTCTAGGGATTCCAAGACAGAATGAAACATACAAGAAAGTGCCCCTGATGTAAAAATCATACATGTTATGGTTATTTGTGTTGGTAATACATTAGTCCAGTCAAACAAAGACTAGTGCTCATCTGGTAAGAGGGAAATTTCTGTAGTTTATAGGATCATAGATTTAGAGCAAGCTGTATGAGACTTTCAAATCCAAGTTCCTGTTACAGATGTAGAAATTCAGGCAGAGAGAAGTTATGGTCACACAGATAAGTGTCAGATGTGACATTTGAACCTAGGTCTTCCTGACTTCAAAGTCAAACTACCTCTCGATTGATAGGAGTACATGTCATGGCAACTGACAGCTTTACCAATTTTGATGAAAACATATTCTGTTTAATGAGCATATTCAACTCCCTTCCCAGTTTTTGTACAGCATTTGAAGAACTTGAGATATTATGCAACATCTAGGCTAGTATGACCTTATTTAAAAGGGAGAAAATGGCTATAACTTTTACTATGGGAGGTGTCACCTCTATTTCATCAGGGTGTCTGTTTTCTGCACTTTGTACTGTGATTGGGTGTGAGATTCGTTAAGCAGCCTATTGAAAATTGCAGGGTGTCTGGAACTATTTAATATAATTGTTGTATGAGAACCCCCCACTGACTCAACTCCATGTGGTCCCTGATTAAATTCAATAATTCACTCAGCTAACGTCTACTGAGTGAATCCTTTATGCAAAAACGCTATGATAGACTCTGTGGGGGAGACATATATGAATAAGAAGATCCTGTCCTCAGGGAGTTTATAATTTAATAGCTATTTATAGACTTAGATGAAATGCCATATAGGAGATACAAACTAAGAACTATAGGAATGTAGATAAAGAGAGGAATAAATATTCTGAGACATTCCAATCCAGGTTTACAGACAAATCTTTGTCCAACTATGGAGATCAAATATCATCGGGGAAAGATTTTTATAGCAATATGATTCACTAAGTAATTGAAGACATGGCTACTTAATCAAATTTCTATCAGAAGTAGGGGAAGCTAACCAAATCAAACCAAATAAAACAAGGGAATGTTTAGTCGAGATATTAAGCAGAAAGGATGGGAAAACCATTCAGAAATTAGATCTGGGAAAGGAGACTGAAGAAATTAACATTCACATTTATTCCCTGGCAGGTATCTTTCTGCTGTTGAATTATAAACAATTTGGGCAGGTTGTATGTGTGGGGCTATCGATATCACCTGAGGATTCAGTTGGAAAATGATTAATGAGGAGACTGTGTTACTCTACGAGTTTTAGACAGATCAATTCAGAAAAAAAATGTTATAAGTATTATAAATAGAATTTCCTTCAAAGGACAGCAGAGTGTTTTATGGAGAAATATAATAGAAAGTCATTAATTTAGACCCTACAAATATGAGTTCTTCCTCTGCACAGAATTTTCGGCTTTTATTTACAAATAAGGACAGCCCAGCCTAATTTCAGTAGCATTTGTATATCAAGGACTCAAGATATAAAGGTTTAGTTCGTTTCAGTGGTAGCCTAAGTCAGCTTTCCGAGGACCTGCCTAGCCAAGTTCAATGAGGCTTCTTATCAGCAGTTTGTCTACTAGGTGATAAATTCTTTCACAGTTCAATTCAGATAAAAATCATGAAGTCCCTGCATGTACAAAGGTGCTGAGGATGCACAGACAAAAATGAGGTAATATCTGTTCTCAAGATTTTTCTTGGTGGCCATGGCAAACCATGATACTTAGTAGCTCATGTGTCCCAACCCTCTTCTCAGTGGCATATGATCAAATTATAGATTCTCCAAGTAAAATTTTATAAGACCAACTTTGATTTCTATATCAATAAACTTTGAGGAACCAATATATGCACGGCAGTTCAGTGTGGTGGAGAGAGTTCGAGGCCTGGAATCATTAAAACTTCAGTTCAAATTGTACTTAGGACGCTTACAAGCAATGATATCACAGGCAAATCACTTAACCTGTATATGCCTTAAATACATTTATAGGATTTATCTACTAAAAACCATCAGGTTTTGGGTTATAATCTACATTGGTGAAAGAAATGACCACACTGGAGTTATCTATACTGACAAAATCACAGATCCTTGCAATATTCAAGTAGTATAAAAGGCCTTGTGACCACTTCCAATCCATTGCCTTCAGTAACACCCTTATTGCACTTGTGGGAGGGTAAAAAGGACTGGTTGGACAGTTGTTATGCTAATGGATGCTTCAGAGAGAACTTCTAGTGTTCCAGTCCTTCTAGATGAAGCTAATCAAATTGTGATTTTGCTTTCTATCTGCCATTCCATGCCTCTCAGATGGATGTGAGATGGTTTTTTTTCATGACTGATCTCTGGTTATTACAAATTGAGTGTGGTCAGTGAGTGAAAATTTTTCTCTGATTCTCAGTATCCTGAGACAATAATTGTTACTGAGGTTTTGACTGAGTTGTTATATTACTGCATTCCATGTGTAACCCTCTAAGATATAAGTGGTAGATTTGGAATAAAAGAAATTAGGAATATTTATTCACTTACACATCCAACTTTCTATTTTGGAAGCAGATTTTTTGATGCAACGGTTGCACCAACTTCACAAAGTTTGCTCTCAAGCCCTGTTATCTATAACATGCCTTTTGTCAAGGAAGATGAAAAAGGTGAGTCTGGTGACATAAATGTACCAAGCAACACAGTTTTTTTTTTAATTATTGTTTTACATTTGTTTAAAATGTGAAAACAAACATCCTGTGTCTTCCAGAGTTATTTCTTTCATATTTCATCTCAAATGCTATGTCAAAAGATAAAGAGGTTTTGGAAACCACCACTGATAACTAATTTTCAGCTCTCTTTATTTGAACTGGAGAGATTAGATTTTTTAACAAGCGTGTGAATATTGAAGGTATTGGGGAATTATAAAGATAAATCTTTGCAATTTTTAAACTTTCTCTACAGTTGAGTTACTGCAGTTTTCAAAAAAAAAGGATATAATTCTCCAAAATAAAACATCCCCAATTCTTTAAAAAGCCTTCTAAGTGTGATTGAGGAAGTCTCTGGTAGTTAGAAAGTTCTTGAAAAACTCAGGAAACTACTGATTAAAAGAAAAAAAATGTGTTTTGTAATTTGTCTTTTTCCAAATACTTCCTTTATTGAAGGTATTATGGCTAGCTTTCCTTTCCTGGACTCAGTTAAAATGCAGAGGAAATTGTCCCATGGCTAAGGAATGCTTGAAGATAAATTTGGCATACCTACCATCTATCTCATCAGTATTTTTACCAGACTAAGGACATCACAACCTTCAAGAACCATAGTTACAAAATCAGAGGAATGTCAGAAACTATCCAGTTCATCGCTTCTATAGTTGTTAATGCTCCCCCTTCCATCTCTGAAATTATATTGCATTTAATCTATATATACTTATGCATGTACATATTATTTTTCTCCTCCCTAAAACCCAATTCCCAGTAGAATAAAAACTTCTTGAGGGTAGTATTACATTTTTGTTTTTGTATTTTTAATGTCTTGTACTTAGTAGGTGATAAATACATGTCAAATTGAATTAAAGTAGCCATTTAACATCACTTAAAGACTTCCAAGGATGGAGAATAACTTACAGCCTTTTTCCCTTTTGCTTTCCTATAGTAGCTGGGTGGTGCAGTGCATAGAGTGCTTTGCTTAGAGTCAAGAAGACCCACTTCAAACCTACCCTCAGACACTTCCCAGTTGTGTGACCCTGGGCAAAGTTGCTTAACCTCTGTTTACCTCCGGTTCTCAACTACAAAATGAGTTTAACAATAGCACTTACCTCCCAGAGTTGTTCTGAGGATTAAATGAGATAGTATTTGTAAAGTTTTTAGCATAGTGCCCAGCACATAGTAGGCACTTAATAAATGCTTGTTACTTTCCCCTCTCCCGCCAAAGCTCAGGTCCTTTGATAACCTTTAAAAGAACCTCTAAATGAAAAAAAAAGATCACCTCAATTCAATTTGATTCAACTTAATTCAATAAATATTTTTTAATTTTAAAAATTAATTACTTAATTATTATGAGAGAGGCACTGTCTTAGCTACTGGGGGTAGAAAGAAAAAAAAATGATATTCCCCCCCCCTTCCTCATGGAGATTATAACATAAATAACATGAGCACACAGAAAGTATGAGGTAGAGTGTAATGGAAGGTAAGGAGAAAGTCAAGCAAAGTTCTTTAGCAAAATCTGAGGAGAGAGAGAACCCTTTCATGCATATGGGAGGACTAGAAAAGGGAAAATTTGATAGCAGTGGCACCAGAACTGAATCTTAAAGGAAGAGAAGGCGTTTTCCAGGAGAAGATGGGGCAAGAGTGGTTCCTATTGAAGCACATAGACTGGAGACAGTGTGTTGTGTTCAGAGAACTTCTGGTTGTCTACTATAGCTGTAATTTTGTGGACATGAAGGAGAGTGAGGTGAAATCAGACTGGAGCTAGTGTGGGAGTGGGGCATCTCCAATGTTGGTTTTGCCTGAGGAGTTTGTGTCGGGAATATTGTTTTGTTATTTTTGGACTTGTTATTAATATTTTTATTTGTAGCTCAAATTCTTCATAAATTGATTTAAGTTCTTTTTGGCCCTGAGATGTGAAATTTGTGTATATGCCTAGTTCTTTGACTCTTATGAATAAAGGCGTATGTGTGAGTATGAAGGAGAAGACGAGGTAGCATGAGGCTGAAAGAAACCTAAATGATTCATCCTGAAGTCACAGCATGAGGTCTGTAGGAGGGCTTCCCTACCCATTTCTTGGGGGTCAATGTTTAATCAGTTTTCATCTATAGTCGGTTGTCAAAGATGCTGAATAATGAATGAAAAAATGGAAAGTATTTATTATTTACTTACTATGTGCCAAGCACTGTTCTCAATATCAAGGATACAAATATCAAAGAAAGATATGCCTTGAACTCCCTTTACTCTAGGAGACAAAGCATATAAGTTAGTAGTGATGAGGAAAAGCTAGGTGGTGTAGTGGATAAAGCACCAGTCCTGGAGTCAGAAAGACTCATCTCCCTGGATTCAAATCTGGCCTCAGACATTTACTAGCTGTGTGACCCTGGGCAAGTCACTTCACCCTGGTTGCCTCAGTTTCCTCATCTCTAAAATGAGCTGGAGAAGGAAATGGAAAACCACCCCAGTATCTTCACAAAGAAAACTCCAAATGGGATCATGACACAACTGAAAACAATGCTTGCTCCCCTTGAGTCTTGTGTGGCAAGAAATTTTTGCTGTATATGTAGTCTATTTCAGGTGTGTAGTCTCTACGAAATGTCGTTCCCTGGTAGCCTCGGGTAGTTGTTTCTTGACATTGTTCTCCTGGTCCTCTGGTAGCTGTCAGGTACATTTCCACTTTCCCAAAGCTATAGAGACTCTCTGTTTCCAGCTGTAGAAGCCTCTCTGGTTCATTTGGGCTCCTAAGCTGGGCTGTACCTTCTTTCTCAGAGGAAGAAGAGGCTCCACCATTTTTCCTTTTGATTTAATGCCTAGATGGTTTTCTGCTACAGCTCTTTTAGAAAGACAAAAATGACCTAATTTATTTTGTCATTAGACTTGGAAATAAAGATACCTTTAATAGCTTTCTCATGTAAGGAGACCCTTCTGTCTCTGAGCTTTGACTGATATGGACTTTTCCTCTCAAAATTGGTCTTAAAGACACCAAGGGTTAAATCTCTGTCAGAGACTTGTTCTGACTTTAGGTTAGAAATTCATATAGTTCCCTGTTAAATTTCTAATTGCTCAACTGTTCTCAACCAAGATCTATAAGAGACTACTGTTGAAACATATTGACAAATTGTCTTAGAATCAGGTGGGGGATGGTTTTTCAACTCAAGAATGGGAAAGTTCAAAAAGAAATTAAGCTCAGAGGGTAATGTCATTGTTTTCTTCTTGTTTAGTCAAGTTCTTGTCTTTACTACATAGATGTGACCAGCAGCAAACCCGCTCTTTCTAGAACACAGATTAGGCAATAGGAAAGAACATAAGAGGGATATGAAATGCAAGAGATCAGATGAGAGAATTTGGAGTTGGAGGGGTCAGGGAAGGTTGTATAGAGAAGACGAAGTAACATGGTGTCAGGAAGACATGGGTTCATGTCCTACCTCTGACATGTGGTAGCTGTATAACCCTGGGCAGGTCAATTTGAGATTTTTCTGAGCCTCATCTGTACAAGGGGATAATAATATTCATGTGTTCTGCCTCTTAGAGTAGTTGTAAGGCTCCAATGAGATTATATGTATACAATATATAAATAACATTAAATATATACACATAGAGACATATATATGTATAGTATGTCTATACATGTATTTACATGCATATATATGTACACACATATATATGTATATGTATGTGTGTATAAACTTTTCAAACCCTTAAGTGCCAGATAAATGCTAGCTATTATTATAACTAAAGCTTACCATAAAAAGGAAGTAAGCCCCTAAGCTTCATAGGGAACAACTGTCCAGTGGTTCTCTCTCAACATCAGCCCCCTGAAATCATACCCTATTCACTCCATGCTAGTTACAGCTTTTATCTTCAAAGCTCTATTACTGTTTTAGAAATCAATGGTACTATAATTGTAGAAATGTATTTCTTAATGATTTTGTTTGCATATGTTTTTAGCAAGAAGAAAATGCCTTATTTTTAAAGAGAGAATCATTTTCTAAAAGTGTGAGAAAGCATATAGGATATCTGCTGAAGACAGATGGGATATGTAGAGGAGTGTAAACGGGTCTTGGTTTGTGGCTTCGTTTCTGCTTGGTAGACTATGGCCATGAAGGCAGTCAGTAAAAAGGAAAGACATTTTGGGGGATGGCAGTGAGGCCTCATATAAATGCTAATGAATGTATTAATGCAAATGAGGAGCACTGAACCATCATTTTTTTACAATTCTTATTTACACTGTGTATGTGGGGGGGTGTATAGATAGCATCAAAATCAGTAAAATGTTATACATTTTACTTTCCATGCTTTAAAACCAAATTGTTGGTCAGATCATTAGTTTTATGATTTTGTAGGTCTCTCACCACTCATATACCTTCATGTAGAGTTGGAAGGTTGAGCATGCCATAAAGTATACCAATCAATTGTAAAAAATCATCACTCCTAAATGCTCTGAAATAATAACAATTTTTTTCTTTCCATCAGAGGAAATGGATCTTCCATTTGACAAGAATGATAATTTCTTCATTACTTTGCTGCGGTTTTGGAGAGAAAGGTCATTCTTTTAATGGCATCCATGCTGTGTCTTGTCAGGATACTACACCCAGCAGGGTACCCCTGGGCATAGATGGAAACACTAAGGCTGTGGATACAATGGGAAAAAATAATAAAAAATATGAGTTATTTTTATTTGAATAACATGTTCATTGTCCAGGCTGGACCGCCTTAGGGGAAATCAAGCAGATATACCATGTTGGTCAGTGACTTGATTTTCTACCATTCCCTATAAGGTACTCTTTTATATATGCAAAACTGATTTGTTGTTGTTGTTGTTGTTGCTGGTTGAGAAAAAACATTTTATTAATTTTTTAATTCTTAGTAAGTCCTTGTTCTAGAGTAGGTCTGATTCAGGCAGTCCTCTGGTAGATTAGGTTTGATATTGGGGAAAAAATGAGATGCTCATAAGCAGTTAACGAAAA